ACGGGGGAGGGGGAGTGATAGAGCAGCTTGGTGGGCACTTGGCAACCCACCACATTCATAAATCATACTGTTATTATTGTGAAAGTTGGGAGGTTAGCACTGCAAGAATTTTGTAGTATCCTTATTAACCTACACTTCCAGACAAAAGAAATAGTGCTGAGCTCATAGAAGAGCTTTCAGTTTAGGTACAAGTTTGGGATTAATCTTTGGCTTTTCAAATGATGTGAAGAACAACAAGGGGAGTTGTTCACAGATGTAGAGAATCATGATTAAGTACTGATTTAAAAGTAAAGCAGATCTTTTTTATACTATTTCAGTTTTTAGAAGTTAATTTTTGCCCATTTTAAATCTATAAAGTCCTATACAATGTATTAGAAGGAACAATTCTGAATTGGCAGGGAGATGGACTTGATGAACTAGTGCAGTAACACTTTCATTTTCCAATTTTTACACTTTCATTAATCAGTTGTATCCAAGGTTTATTTCCAAATAAATACTATTTAGATATATTCTCAACATACTGATATTTAAGTTATTATGCATATAAATTTTAATTCTGAAATCTGAACGGGCACTTGCTTTACAATTTTTAAGGTATCATGAAAGCAGTCAGATGAGTTCCCTGGAGGAGACCTTTGTTAGTAAAGCTAGTGCACTGCAGCAACAAGGAAGAGCTGGGCGTGTTAGGGATGGATTCTACTTCCGAATGTACACAAGAGACAGGTACTGTAAACTTAGTTAACAAGATTTTGTAAATCACATAAATATCTTTGTTTTTTTCTTTGAAAAAACAAGAAATCTTGTTGAAATTCATTTTAGTTACCGCAAACTAGAAAGATTCAACTGTAAAAAAATACAGATAACTTGAATATCTTATGAATAAAGTGTTATAATAGTCTTCTTGTTTCATGACAAAGTCAATCGTATTCTTAATATCTCTATAATGTGTGTTCAATTTTTTTTTTTCAAAATGTAAGGAAAAGTGCAGCACTATGGAATTGTGGAAAATCAGTTTTTAACATCTACTGTCCTGCATCAAGTATACACAAACCTTACCTCCCAAACTTTGAATTTTTTATCTTATCAGACAAATCTGTAAGTTTCTGAAGTGGTATCTCTATGGATAAGAGATGGGAAAAAATCAAATTATACAGCACTACAGAACTAGTTTCTGTTACTGCAGTGGAGTATCACCTTTTTCCTGCTTGTCCGAAAGTCTGAAGCAACTCTTACCTTAACTGTGTCTCAGTTGAAAGTATTTTGAAATAATGAAGTGTGCATTTTAGCCACATGCATTGCTCCCAAACTGAACTGGAAGTCTTGCATTTTAGGAACTGGTTTTGAAAACTGGAGTCTTACTGCCTTTCCCTCTCTTTCACTGAAACTCTTGCCTTCCAAGCTACCACACATGCCTTAATTCAAAGGATGAGCAGTTTAGCCATGCATCAAAACACATGCCACTAACTTCCCCCCCCAAACATCTGCAAAGAATGAGCATGTGAAACCTGAGTTTATAACATGAATTCAAACATTAAATTGAGTATCTGTGATCCTCTGTTTTTATGATGTTGCAGGTTTGAAAGTTTCATGAAATATTCTGTTCCAGAAATATTACGTGTGCCTTTGGAGGAATTATGCCTTCATACTATCGTATGGTTTTGTTTTTTGGAATTACTGACCTTGTTAGCTAAAAAGGTTTGCTAGGACTGCCCTAATCCAGTGTAGTTAATGGGGTTTCTCTCACCAGGGTGGGGGAAAATACAGCACCTGTGTGTTGGGGAAAATCCAGAGCATGCTGCTGAGTCAGAATAGCATACTTGTATTGGGTTTGTGTGGCAAGGTTTTGGTAGCAGGGGGGCTGCAGGAGTGGCTTCTGTGACAAGAGGCCAGGGCTGCCCCCATGTTGGATAGAGCCTGTTTCAGCTCTTTTTTGATTACACTGTCTTTATCTTGACCCATGAATTTTTCATTTTATTTTGTCCCCCTGTCCTGACGAGGAGAGGCAGAGAAGGAGCAGTCTGGTGGGCATCTGGCAGCCAGCCAAGGTCAACCCACCACAGGAGGATGTGAAATAGATGCAGCAAAATTCATTCTTTTTTTTTTTTTTTCTTTTCCTCCCAAAATTCTTAAAGCTTGGATATATGGTTATGGGGACTGAACACTACAGAGCACAGGCTGTTGTCCTAGGGAAGTGCATCCTGAAAGATAAACTGGGGCATTTGAATGGAATTTGCAGATTAACATTTCTATGCAGTCTACCCAAGCTGACTTAATTTTTAGTGACATATCCTACCTTGAATATGGAAGGAGATCAGTTACTTCTCCAAAGAACTATGCAAGGGGATAGGTTTACCCTGCAGTCAGAGGTGTGATTTAAGTTGTTGGCTGTTACAGATGCAGCTAGTGTAGTTCAACTTAGTACTAGTAGCATCAAAGCTGTAACAGCACAACCATCAGTTTCTGTTGCTCTAGCTCACCTAGGACTAAAAGGAAGAGATGTCAATACTTGGGTATGCTACTGCAGTCCCACTGCCCATTTGTCTTGGTTGTGTTCCCATCACTTCTCTGTAAATACTCCATACAGTCATGATTCTTATATAGTTGTTTTGGTGATCTCTGGCTGTATTTTTAGCCAGGTATAAATATTTGCCTGTGATGTAATTGGTGAGTGATCTCCCTGTCCTTATCTCAACCCATGAGCTTTTCGTAATATTTTCTCTCCCCTGTCCAGCTGAGGAGGGAGAGTGATAGAGCGGCTTGGTGGGCACCTGGCGGCTAAGCCAAGGTTAACCCACCACAACACTATACTATTCCAGTTTACCTCAGAATAACAATTTAAACTCAGTTAAATATCCTTCAAACCGATTTCTGCTTAAGGAAACAATTCCATTCCCTCTCCCCCCATCCAGAGTGAATAGGATATGCATGGGAAAACTACTGCAGAAGGATGGTATTTCACCCTTCTGCATTTGAAGTTCTGGATTGCAAGGCATTTGTAAGGCATTTGCTTATATCTTAAGTGCTGGGATGTAGTAAACAAATAGTTGCACTTTGGTTGCAAATTAGTGTCCAGGTGTTGAATTGCATCTCAGCAGGTTGGTCAGTCTCCTGCTCATCTGTGACCACTTGTAACACAGTTCTCTGATCAGTTGTCATGCCATACTAAGACTGTCTGAACAATGAAGTTTTGTTAACCTAATGTGGGGTACATCTGCATTCTGGGAACCAAGAGGCTGGTTTAGAGGAGAGGGAACGTGGGCTTTTGGTTGCAAGAAGAGCTTTCCAATTTCCTTTGCAGCTACTGTAAAAAGTTTGTTAAATTGCTGTCTTTGTTTTCACTTAATTCTTAGTATAATAGTTTTTAATATTGAAATATATGCCCATTCAATTCACAGAAGTGCAGTCTTGGCTCTTGTCCTGGTTTCAGCTGGGATAGAGTTAATTTTCTTCCAAGCAGCTGGCATAGTGCTGTGTTTTGGATTTAGGATGAGTAAAATGTTGATAACACACTGATGTTGCTTAGTTGTTGCTAAGTAGTGCTTACACCAGTCAAGGACTTCTCAGCTTCCCATGCTGTGCCCGGTGCACAGGAAGCTGGGAGGGGGCACAGCCAGGACAGCTGACCCAGGCTGGCCAAAGGGCTATGCCATACCGTATGGCGTCATGCTCAGTATATAAACTGGGGGGAGTTGGCCAGGGGGCAGCGATCGCTGCTTGGGAACTGGCTGGGCATTGGTCAGAGGGTGGTGAGCAATTGCATCGTGCATCACTTGCTTTGTATAGTCTTTATTATTACTATTTTACTTTATTTTACTTCAATTATTAAACTGTTCTTATCTCAACCCACGAGTTTTCTCACTTTTACTCTTCTGATTTTCTCCCCCATCCCACCAGGGAGGGGGGAGTGAGCGAGCGGCTGGGTGGTGCTTAGTTGCTGGCTGGGGTTAAACCACAACAGCTCTCCTGAAGATTTCCTTTCCAGAGCATTAGACCTGCCACAGCTGCAAGTAATCGGTAATGCAATGAACCTGTTACAAGCATGTTCTCCTGTGTGCTGTAAGACCAGCAGCATTCATCTTTGTTAATGCCATTTATTTCTGGTTTTGAGTGGAGAATGCTGACCAAAACACAGTATTGCCTTTTAACTTACTACCACTTTCATATTGTTATGCTCTTGATGTACTCTTTTTGCTGTAATAAGACAGGATTTTTTTTTTCCTTAGGCTCAACAAGCAGGAGGATATCATGCTGAAATGACTTGCTGCAGAAGATATTTCTTTAATAGGGCTTCACTGTTAACTCTAGAGGTAAACTGAATAATTATGCTCTGCACTCAAAAGATATCCGTTTAAAATTTCCCTCCGAAAATATCCTGCCCTTTTAAAGTGGTAATGTATCACAGTTACTATTTAGACAAGACAAAAACAAGTGGAACCCTAGGGACTGATGAAATACCCTCAATCCAAGTAGTTGTGTCAGCACATGAGTTCTTTGATATGCACACTTCATTAGTATGCATCTTTGCAGTCACTTGCACTGGAGAAGCTAGTCTTTACTTCCACCAGAGAATCAAAACTTATGAATTAAGGTACCAAGGTTGTGTCATTCTTCATATTGAAGAACAAGTCTGTTAACAGTTAGTTTGAAAGATGAGTCACAATCTTAATGGCCTTTTATTTTTGGTGAGAAAATGTTTTAATTAGTCTTTCCTAGTTAAGTTTGTGTGAGCTCTTCTAAGCAGAAGTGGATACTTGATGCAAATGTATCTTTTTATTTTAACTGCAGCTGAGAGATTTAGTATTTGCAGTATATATAGTACCATATATCAAATCCTATATTCCAGATAATGTTTTCCTCATAGAAACAGCCAGTATTCCAAGGTGGCTGCAGAAAACACAAGTGTTTTTCTAAGAAAGAAATTTTCCCCTGGAGAGCATGAATATTTGGGATGGAGTGTCATTGCCTGCTGGTGGACTGGAGTATGTACCTTTTTAAATTCAGAGTTTTACTAATACTTTATTAATTTCAGGATGTGAAGCAAGAACTCATAAGGGTGGTCAGAGCAGCAAGGTTCACAGCACCTACAACGCAATGTGGATGGGATGGAAACGAAGCCACACAATCCCTTTCTCTCCAAGAAATAGCTGCTCTTAAAGCTGTATTGACTGTAGGGCTGTATGACAATGTAGGAAAAATAATATGTACAAAGTCCATGGATATCACAGAGAAGCTGGCCCGCATGGTAGAAACTGCTCTGGGTAAAGCATAAGTGCATCCCTCCTCTGTAAAGAGACTTACAGATATACAGATGGCTCCTTTACCAGGAGAAGGTAAGTGAAAATAGTGAATGTAGCTGATGGTTTGTGAAAGGTGGCATTATGCCTGTAATATTAAATAACATACACCAGTGTAAAGTATTTCTGAATGTCCTGCTCATCTTAAGAGTCCTTAGTATCTAATGAGTCTAAAGTCCATAAAAAATGAGTCAACTGGGGGCTGAAGAAAAAGAAGTTAAGGCTGAACATCATGAATAAATCTGTTCATGATGAAACTGGTAGCTATAAATGAAAGTACCTTTCTGTGTGTCATTTAACTTAATATTATCATTGACATTTTTTGATACAGTGCTGTTGATTTAAATATGATCACTTTTATGCAGTAGTATACTTATGTAGCAGTAACACTTCAAAGTGCTTTTTCTTTTTTACTCTTCTAAGCAGACTCTAAGGTTTTGAAAATTGGTACGGACCTCACATATCCCTAATAATAACTTAAAATGAAATAGCCAGTTCTGTAATTGACTGCTGAACTTCCTAAGTGAATTGCATTTTTTTCCTGTTGCTTTCTTCCCCCTCCCAGCTCAAAATTTTGTCAGCTGTTTGCTAAAGTCAAGTGTTTATGTTTAGTTAGATAAACTTCTGGTACAACAAAACCTTGATAGCAGTTGCTTAATGGCCAACTTTACTGTAGAAGAGCAGGAAATTACGTCAGACTTCTTAATGCATATGAAGCGATAGTATTTTTTGGAGAGCTGAAAATATTTCCTGCCCCAAGAACCTTGTACTGTAAAGGCAAGACAGCAGCTAAGGTAGATAAGTTATTCCATGAACAGTGGAACAAACAAAGCCTGCGCTTCTGTGTGAAGATGCACTCTTTTTGTTTTCTTTCCTCCAGCTACAACTCCTCTCCCATCCTGTTATACCTTTGCCTGCAAGAGACTCCAAAGCCAGAAGTAGCATATGCTGAGTCTAGCCCCATAGTTTACTCTCTGTATGTGTCCACATTTATGCATGTGGATATAGATAAACAGATTGACAAGCCAGCTGCTGCTAAGAAGAATGTCTAATGTAAGAGTTTTACCTGCCTCTTATTTCAGTAGGTTTGTTAATTTTGATGTCTCTCTTCTGGATAGCACTAGGCTAACATTATCTTTCTGTTTGAATTTTAACCAGAAAATTGTGGCTTTGGCTAATTTCCTAGTAGCATATAAGCCTGTCACTTAGAGGTTTAAATGCGATGTATTTTATATGGTATAGGGCAGAAAAATTGCCACCAGCTGTTTTGTGTACAATGACTCGTGTTGATCGATCTTAAAAGAAAAGTAGCAATCGAATCTGGTGTTATGGATTTTATGTGGTTTTGGGGTGTTTTTGTTGTTGTTGTTGTTTTTAATGCTTGTGTGTGTTTAAATGCAGGTGAGGTATGCTAAGGTATATTTGAGAGAGACTACTTTATTATCCCCCTTTCCCATTTTGCTTTTTGGTGGGGATATAGAAGTCCAGCATCAGGAGCATCTCCTGACAGTTGATGGTTGGATCCATTTTCAGGTGCGTTGGAGTGGTAACTACCTTTTGTGGTTCTGTGGGCTTTTGTATTACACAGTTGATGTACAAGCTTAATTCAGAATGCTATATATGTGGGATGAAGACAAGAGGGAGGAATGAAGGAGAGAATTAAAGGAAATTATGGGAAATTTTATATACATGTGATGAAATCTTAGCAGATCACACTTGAAAGAATAGATTCGTAATATGCAGCTTGTAACAAATCAGTTCCTTCTCTCTTCATGAAGAAAGCTGGTGTTCTTTCAGAGAAAGTATTGGAAATGGATATAGACTAAACCTTGCTTTTTATAGAGCTGCTACTGAAAGCAGATGTGTGCTATTTTATACTACCCTTTCCTACAATCTTATAAGCATGTAGGTACATATTTTTTTTTTTTTTTTTTTTTTTTTTTTTTTTATTTTACTAAATTCAGCTATATCTCTGACTTTTTCTAAGATTTCCCATCCTTCCAATAGCCATTGACAGTTTATTTTAAAACAGGAAAAGGGCATAATGAGAAGGGTTTTTTTTTTTCCACAGTCATCATCCAAAATAAAGAGTTATAGCTGTTAAAAATTGGTCTTAGTGTTATTCAGATCACATAAGACTTCCTTTAATTGGCCCTTAATAAGCTTGGTTTAACTGGGATTTAAAGAAAGAACAGTGGTCATTAACATTAGCCAGATTAAGACTCTGTTAATTACCACTGAAAGATAAAGTAATATGCAAAGATGGGGTCTAAAATATTCTTGCACTTAAGCACACAAGGAAGTTGAGAAATTTCTTGCTAACTGAAATGAATAAGTCAGTAGCTCTTTCTCTGCAAAGCTTAAAAAAAAAGAGAAGACAGAAGAGAGTGAGAGAAAGTACAATTACTACATTTAAATACTCTGGCTTAATTAGTACCCTGTATACCGAAATGGTTTCTATTTTGTTTTAATTTTTTTCTGGTCCTCAAATGTAACTTATTGTTTGTTTCAAGTATTTGATAAATTCTGCATGAATTTATCATTTTCTGGTAATTAATCTTTTGTATAGACAAACATAGTCTAATATATATTGGTATATTGTTTATAGGCTTTGTATATAAGTATCAATATATGAATATATGTTAATGTTAATATTAATGACTCTTTATATAGGAATAAAATATATAAATATGTGTTATATATCACATTTATATATATCACTTAAATAAAGAATATTTTTCTTAATGCACAGTAGCAATAGAATCAAAATATTTCAGGCATTGTAAACAATTGCAGTCAAGCAAGAACTCTGTATGTACAGACAGAATAGTGCAGAAGGTGGGTGGTTTTGGTTTTTTTTTTAATCTAGAAAATACAGAAGAGGTTAATAGTGTACAGAAAGGGCAATGAGGAAAATGCACAATCTTGAAAGAGACCAAGCAAAATACACAGAGCTATCCAGTTAGATTATCATAGCAGAACTGGTACTGCTGTACTAAGAGGGGGAAACATAAGCTGAAAGTAAACCAGCTTGCGCACATTACCCTATTCTCAATTCTGGAAGAGGCAAGTTCTTCTAGTAGTAGTTTGCTAAGAACTCTGAGGGAAGGGTGGTCACATCTGTTATCCTTTTATGAATTGTGATAAACTAGTGGTAGTCCTGGATTTCTAGAAAAGCCAGGAAATGTTTTGGGTTTTTTAATTACAAAGTGTACAACACTTATAAAAGGAAGCATGTAAACAGTTAAAGTTTGTTCTGAAGACTTCAATTTTGTACTCTGTGTTCTCAAATGCATTCCTCTTTCATGTCAGAGGCATAGATATAAAAACCTACAAACTGCGTTCCTTGAAGATAAAAATTAAATCTGCATCCCGAACAATTTCCTAGGTTTTGTTCTAGTCAAGGTCTTTTATCTGTATCCTTTGGAAACAAGAATTAGAAATATATTTCAGTAATTTAACAATTAACATGCTCCTGTTTCTTTTGGATTTGAATTTCACATATCAGTTGTTATTTTTAAATGGCTAAATACTAGTGAAAGTGTTAATTGTCCTTGAGTTCTTCTCCCTTATTTAACCATGATGAATAGAGAGTTTTTATTCCATTTATGTATGGTAATGTTGAAATGCAGAGACATTCTTTGTGTTCCTCTAGCACACCCTGCTTCGTAATCTTTTAAAGAAATATCTTCTTTCAGTTGTTATTAAGGGGATTTATTGTAATAACTAGGAAATTGCTCACTCTCCTGAGTGAGCAACAGGTTTCTGCAAATCAGATTAAACGGGACAAACTGTGGTGTACAGATAAGCACAGTTACCTTAAAATTAAAAAACAAAACCAAAAACCACCGAAAAACTCAAAAAGCAAAGACTATGGTGAATTTCTGCTTCCGCAGTGTATGCGAGCAACTTTTGTGCCTGTGCTCTTTTGGATGGATGAACTTTCTCTTTTGTTCCATTTATTTAATAAATGCTTCTGTTAACACCTTTGCGTTACTTTTCTCAAAGCATGTCAAACACGAGACCAGTATCAATGGATCTTTCTCACTGTAGTCACAATAGGGCTCTTTGGGCTGTACTTTATTTTAAAGGCAGCATGGCCTATTGGTCTTTGTGCATCCTTTCCTTTGAGAGGATTTCCTGTTCCTGCTATTCAAGCTGCAGAATTCCTGTCTCCTCCTTTCTTCTGCTGTTGGGGTCGTAGACTGCTTGAAGCTCTCTTTTCCTTTTCACGTCTTCCCCGTCACTTGACCCAGGAGAGGTTTTCCTTTTCCTTCTACAAGTCTTTCCTAGTCTATAGTGGACTTGATCAATGGATCATATAGCCCAAGCATATCTGATAAAATAGTCATGTCTGACCTCAACTCTGCTTCCGTAAACCAGTGCTCACAGTGCAGGAACATTCTGATTTGCCTCCATTGGGCTGTTTAAAATAGTGCTCCATTACATAAGTAGTCAATAGATGGAAGTGGAATCAAGACCCAAACCTTCCAGAGAACTCCAGCATTCTTGATATCTCCTTGTTGTATTTGTGCTATGTTTCCTGGTAACCTCAAATGAAAGTATTATTTATGCGGAGCGATCTGTAGCTGTTAAAGCTCACTGGGTTCCAGCTAGGAGCTGGAGAGTCATTTTTTTTAGTAGTGGCAAAATGGAAAATGCAGCAACTTCAGCTGACTAGGTTCAGGCTCTGCCATGACTGGCTTTAGGGTACTTCTGTCCAGTTTGTTCTCCGTGCCCTTCCAGAAAGAGAGCTCCAGCGCTCGGCCCTGTTCTCTGGAGATCGGAGTCGGAGGCGGTGGCGCGGTGCT